TGTGTGTGTGTGTGTGTGTGTGTGTGTGTGTGTGTGTGTGTGTGTGTTTAAACAGCTGAAATCACCAATAGTCTTAAAGCATCATTTAGACCTTTTGGAGAGGTGGTGAATATCCTTGCTTTAAAAGGCAAATAATAGTGCAGGAGATGAAAGTTCAGCTAAAGCTTGCAGTGCCTTTTCCACCTAATCAATGGTATAAGAGATGAGAGAGAGTGTTTCCTTAATCTCTCCCCTCACCCCATGAAAGGAAATTTAAGTATAGCGCCTCCAAATTACATCAGCAGATGAAAACTCACTGTAAGATTTGTGTTCCTAGATACCTGACAGGTTTCAGAGTAGCAGCCGTGTTAGTCTGTATCCGCAAAAAGAACAGGAGTACTTGTGGCACCTTAGAGACTAACACATTTATTAGAGCCCACGAAAGCTTATGCTCTAATAAATGTGTTAGTCTCTAAGGTGCCACAAGTACTCCTGTTCTTTTTTCTAGATACCTGAATTACGGAGGGAAAAAAAATCCCACAGACAAACCAACCACAACTGGGCACTATGTGCAAACTAAGGGCTCAGTCCTGCAAATCCTTACTGCCCTGTGTTCAGTGGGGCTACTCACATTAGCAAACTGTGGTGTTTAGATGCTGCTTGTAATTATTAGAACTGGGAGCACTGGCGGTTGGGAGTCTGAAAGGACAGGAAACAGGAAGGAGGGGGGAGGAGTTGAGGAGGCTGGGGGAGGAGTTGAGGAGGCTGAGGGAGTTATAGAGTATGCAGCTACAGCTTGGAGAAGAGACTTGCACTGTAAATAAAGTTCTGTTGAAGTTGTTAATACTTTGCCTGGTGGATACAACACAAACACGACACTTAAATGACTAGTGCATTTAGAACTTCTTAGATATTGATTCTGGTTTCAGTTACACTAGTGTAAATCAGGAGTAACTCCGGTGAACTCAAAGGAGTTACATCATCACTGTTGAGATCAGAAACAGATTTTAGATCCTTTAAATCCTATCTCAGACCAGATTAGTTGCATTTGAAATACTGTTATATAAAAAGGAACCATATTTTAATTATTTGAGGGTCCAGTTCCACCATCCTTACTGCATGATTGGTCCCACTGATTTGACCACTCGCATACCAAGGTACTAGGCAACATACATAAGAATGGTAGAATCAAGCCTCAAATGTTGGGAAGTTGCTACAATACATATGACCTCAGTGGAGTAACCCTGGATTTACACTGGTGAAACTGAGACCAGATTTTGACCCACTGTCTGTCTCTTTATCCCACAGCAGCAAAAACTGGTGGAGCCAATAGTCCACTGCCTTGCACAATGTGTACTTGTTTACCCCTTTGTAGAGAGAGTGCAACGTAGTGTTTTGCATTGTCTTTGTACAGGGGTAAATGACTACACAGGGTCCAAGTGAGTGGAGAAAGAGGCACAGTGCCTTACTTGCTTACAATCCCATTCTAGATTCTAAGCACTGTATAGCACACGCTCAGTAACACCCACGGGAGGGGAACAGAGCACATGGTGTGCAAGGCAGTGGAATATCAGCCCCCATGTTTTTTTGCTGTTATGGGATAAGGAAACAGACAGTGGGTCAAAATCTGGTCTCAGTTTCACCAGTATAAATCCAGGGTTACCTCATTGAGCTAGCATGCATTGTTCCTCCCCTCAAATGGAATAGTTTGTGGAAATGGCAGGGATCCTGGAGGTTAGGGACAAAGCTCACAGGCCTGAGGGATCACTGGGGACTAACAGTTCCAATTCTGCAGAGGGGCTGCCTGACCACACTGCTCTCCTTGGCAGTAAAGCTTACAAGACTCTATATTGTTAATATTCTGCCATCCCAGTTACTCCTGTGCTGTTCTCCCCTTCACAGGGAAGGAATATGGCAGAGCTGGAGTTAATACTGCTTAGAGAGCTGTTCCTATGGCATCTGAATAGGATTTTCGAATTTCATTGATGCACATAGAAGATATCAAATTCTTACTCTAAGGAAAATGGTAACCCAACAGGATAATCACAGAAGTCTGGTACCAACACAGGTCCAAACTCCAGAAGCAGTTCTACTGCTAGTTACTATCATAACTAGCAAGGCAGCCAGAAAACTGTTTCTGGCAAAATATGTTGCAGAACTCAGCATCTGAGTTTTACCATCATCAGGTCAGGTAGCTGATAGCTATGTTATTGTTGAACAAAAGAGAGAAAGGATACACCTCAACTAGGAGAAAAAACAATTCACCATTGTACTAAAAATAATGCAACTACTTTAACAGGTATGAGTTTTGGAAAGAAAAAACAAATGGTGTATATAATATAATATAGTGCAGTGCATATGCAGTTTTTTTTTATGAAAAACCTCTGAGGGATTGTTCAGGCCCAATAGTTTAATGGAGGGGGAGTTTTTCATGAAAGTCATGTGTGTGCATATGAATTCCCACACATTTGCACCTGCCTTTATTTGTTTAAATTTATAACTGGAGCTCTGGGTACTGTACAACTATTATAAACCAAGTATCTCAATAGATCAATAAG